AGAGAGAGAGAGAGAGAGAGAGAGAGAGAGAGAGAGAGAGAGAGAGCTGACTCAGTGTGGTGTGTGTAGGGATTGGGGAGGAAGAGAGTGAAATATGGAAAGAAATATCTACAGCCTGAAATACCTGGCGCAGGGCAGTTAATCATGAGGGCGCTCCGAAAAGAAAAGACCGAGGGAGAATGTTGAGGAGGAAGATCTTGATGAGGCAGAAGACGTGGTGGTGGAAGAGAGACAAGGACAAAGAAGGTGCGAGGAAGGAAGTGTGTTGGGTGAAATGCGTTTTTCTCTCTCCCGCTTTCCCTCTCTCCTTCTTGCGCGTGTGCAACAGTGTTGAGATCTTAAAAGAAATGGAGCGATCTTGATAACAAACGGCGCGTTTACGTCCAAGGATGAAGGAAAAGAAGTATTTCTTACGTCGGGCGTTACGAAGGAAGGGCGGCCGGTCGAGGGAGGAAAGGGGAGGTAGGGAGTAGGACGTAGGGAGGAATGGAAGTAGGAGGTCAGGTGGTGATCGGGCTGAGGAAGGAAGGGGAGGGAGGAGATCGAGGGAAGGAGGAGGTCAGACAAAGATCAGGTGAACGAAGGGGGCGAGCGAAGGGGAATGAGGCGGCCAGGTGGACGGAGGCCAGGGGAAGTTGAAGAGAAGGTGCGGAGGAGGCCTGTAGGGAGGGGAAAGGCGGCAGAGAGTAGGGCGGAAGCAGGACGTCAGGTGGAGACCGGGCCAAGGAAGGAAGGGGGGGAAGGAGATTGGGGGAAGGAGGAGGTCAGTGCAAATCGGGCGGAGGAAGGTGTAGGACGGAGGAGATAGAGGGGAGGTCAGGCGGAGACTGGGGGGAGGAAAGGGAGTCAGGTGGCCAGGCGAGGGAGGGCAGAGGGAGGTTTAAGAGAAGGTCCAGAGGAGGCGTGGAGAAAAGGGAGGTGGCAGGGAGAAGTAGGGCGAAGGGAGGACAGAAAGCAGAACGTAGTTCAGAGGTTGAGTGACGTATGGAGGAAGGGAAGAGGTAAGGGGTAGACGAGCATGGGAAGAAGTGTGAAGAGGAAGAGGAGGAAGTGGAAGGAGGCCGGGAGGCCGGGGAAGGCGGCAGGGTGAAGTCGGGCGGAGGGAGGCAGATGGAAGGAGGAGGGAGGGCAGAGGTTGGGTGGGGTACGGAGCAAGGGAAGAACTCAGG